TCGCGGTCTCGTATGACATTGCCGTGGGTAAGTAACACAGTGGTACACGGTCGAAAGTTCACGGCACGTAAAGTGGATCTTTGGAACAACTGTGCAAGAAACGCGTAGTAATTATACCTACTCCGTTATGTTCATAAAATTATACCTCGTAACCATAAATCGTTGTATTTTGGTGGAGCGAGCAAACGGGCGGTAGAGGAAGTCTCAGTTATAGTTCGTAGAAAATACGAAAATGATACTTAAGTAACATTTAATTTCCTATTTCTCTATATTAAACGATAATATAACGTCGATTCTCCGAATTAGGAAACAAATTCGTTCGACTAATTTTCAAATATGCACATTTATTATATATATAAAAAAAAAAAACGTATCTCACAAGAGAAATATATGGTGTATCAGTCGTTGAATAAATAAATTCAAAATTCGGATAATCTTCTAGGGGATAATCGGTTCACTTTGATACTCCTCCAATTAAGAAAAATTCCAGCGGAATAAGCAGAAATTAATCGAAAGTTTAATCAGAGAAAGTTTTGCGAAGGCGTTTTTAATACGACGACAGGATTATTTTTATTTCATCGCGAAACATTTCGTGAACGAGCCACGTTCCCCCCTGTTTAATGCAAATGTCGCTTAACCAGCGTTCAATTTACCCTTTTAAATTCGCGCCGGCGAGGAGCAACGCCACTCGATTTTATTGTTCTTACAGTGGCGAGAAAGCTGACGGTGCTGCGGACAAAGGAGGTTGATCCTTGATGCTTTCCTGCCATCCTCATTTAAGAACGAGTATTTGCATGAGACGTGGCGAATCGGAATTGCGTCGAATTCATTGTGAATGCGCATTTAAGCTGGAAGTAACGAATGACACTTGGTGGACAAGAATATATATATATATATACACATATATATGTGTGTGTGAAAACTTGGAGACGAGGAGGAAAGAAAATAAAAATGGCGAAGAAAAGAAATAGGGTGGAAGAGACGGGCGGAGAGTGGAAGCGTTATCATTACGCAAATTTAAGGTCGGAATATAACGGACGCGATGTATTTTACGCTTTCTGCTGCTCGAGAGTTCTCTCGTTAAAAAAAAAAAAAAGAAAAGAAAAAAGGAGGGGGGCAAGCCTGTATTAAAACACATTAAGTCCACCTGCCGGTAGTTCTCCTCGTATCTACGTACGATGTTTTACTGCTCATGGTAAAAATTTAATAAGTTGATGCAAATGAGGCTCTTATGTAAATCTACAAGATTTCATAGCGGGTGGATCGTGGTACATATTTTTCGGCTGTCCCTCATTACCATGGTAAATTTCACCCCGTTGTAACTCGCGAACAAAAGGGGGAAATTTGATTTCACGCGCGTGTGCAAACTTTGGCAAACGTGGACTAATTTGAACGTGCTCGTGGGCGTAAGATATCGGGGATATGAAAGTGAATTTGTCAAGATAATAAGGGGAACGAGAATTTTCGCGGAGAGTGTTCAATTTTCCTTCGAAAGAAACGTGTCTCTTCTAGCTTCGATAATAATAAATTACCGCAAGTTTAAAGTTCACTCGAAACTTCCGTCTATCGTGGCCTCTATGATTCTCTTCTCGAATCCAGCTACTCGAACTACTTTTCATTTCCCCGTAATATACAATATTCCCTCCTCCTGGTTCGAAAGAATCTCGGTTGAACAAGAAAAGGGGAGAGAAAAAAAAAAAAAGAAAAAAAAGAATGAAAATATCAGACCTCGGCACATTCTGTAAGAATCAATGTAGAAACCAAGATTCTCTTTGAAACACGTATTCTCTTATTCGTTCAAGTGAAAACGCCAAAGGAGATAGAAACTTACGTTGAAAGAAGGAGGGAAGGAGGAGGGAGCGGGGAAGGAAAAAAGAAGAGAAAAAAGAGAAAAACAAAGTAAGAGAGGGTAAGAAAAAATATATAAAGGGAGAAACTGCGTTTCGATGGAGGAAAGCGACAGGATAAAGGGAGGGATGATGTAAGAGGGAAATGAAGAGTGGGGGAGAGAGAGAGAGAGAGAAAGAACGACTAAAGGGGGTAACTTTATCTACGCCGGCAGAAGCGACCCTCGAGTTCGATTTTGCGCTGTTCACTAAGTTACCTGATCTGCTCTCCATTGTCTTGTGATAACTTTGTGATACCTGGGCTAAGGATTTCCTCAGATACGCTGGAGACGCCGTGTTTCTCGAACGAGAAGAAAGACGAAGCATAGAGCTTAAGTCGCGAAACTTTCCCAACAAACCGAACTCGCTCCCATTCCGGCCGAGAACGTTGTGAAAGTCTGTATATCCGCGAAATGATCCCGAGCTAGATGTTTCCACGTGACTCTTCATACTTCAACGAAGAAAACAATCCTCCTTTTCGTTTATATACTCTGTGACGTAGGTACAAGCATTTGAAAGTATGTAAACACATGCTCCTCAGAAGATACAATAAAAGATATTATTGCCATGTTTGCACGCGATTTCGGTGAACAAATTATTACGCGCTTATTCGATAATGGCGTAGGTAAAAATTTGAAGTTTTTGAAGGAAGGAATCGTTATTGATTGTATCTTTTCACTGATAAAATTCTATCAATGACTAAAAAAATTTGAAACTTTTATGCATTCATGTTATTAAGAGATATTAAACACATAATAGTAAAAATTTTATCTTTTTGATTGGAAGAAGTTCCTGTTTATGTTATGGGATTATTACTATTATTATTACTATTATTCTATTATAAGTAAAATCAGTGAATATTAAATTTAGCATTTTGATTCTTATAAACCATTTATAATAATTTTCGAGCTATGTCATTTTTTGTAAATTTCAACGGATTCAAAATCAATATATATTTTTTTGCCATATAAATAATTTCATATTCAATTAACAGGAAAAAATAGAATCAAATAAAATATTGCTTGTAACAATGTTGTTGTCTTTTGTCTTCTCACGCTCGATCATTTTGCGCAATTAATTATTATCAATGACAAAGAACAATAAAACAGAAATATCGGAATGCTGACTGGAAGCTTTTGAATTCATTTATAAATATACTTTGCAATAACACTTTCCCCGTAAACATTTCAATTTTTAATTAACACGGGGGTCAAATAATAAAATAATTAATTTAAATTTAACTCTGTTGATGAAATTGGTTATTCGATTCGCGCATATTTTATTCGGCAATAGTAACTGCGAAAGATGAATTAAAGTACAATTAACTTTTAAATGTTCCCGATAATTTTTACGTGCACTGTTTCGAATGTGTGTCGCTTTTGGATAACAATAGGATACACATTTTAAACGCGATGATATTAATCATCCTTTAAATAATTTTGTTCAGAAACACGTCCCAAA